AGTTTTGATTTAAGTGCTAAAAACCATATGGTTTATACCCAACGAGTAAAGCTTGGTAAATCGTCATCTTTTGTGACGATTTATGTGCTGAAATGAAAAAAACATTGTCTCTAAAGGTCTAAACTGGAAGATTGGCAACTAAATATATGCCTGGGTGTCTATTAAGGCAGTAATTGATGTTTTAACCCCTAAAATCCAGTGTCCGTATTACTGCATCCTACAGGCAGTGATATGAGCATCCAAACTATATATAAACTGTCTTAACCTCCGGCAGGGATTTTTTTTCCTTTTCTCTTTGAATGTGTTTCATCTGTGCAGTGACTCAATCTTACCAACACTGAAGATGCTGGGGCTAGCACAATGAATCGTGATCTCAGTAGTTTAGCATGTTTCAGTTTTTATCTAAATAAAACAAAAATAAAAACCTAAAGCTCAGACGTCCATGAGTGCTTCCGCTAGGCCTTAAAGACCTGCATTTGTATGTTGAAGCTGTGGACTGTCAGTAGGGGGCAGTGATAAAAGTTAATAGACTACTCTGAAACATGTGCTGCTCATGTTTTCTGTTTTTGACATTGGTGGTTTTTGAGTTTCTCTACTGCTGTGGAAAAGACCATCAATCCTTACAGACAAAGAAATGCTTTATAGTGGAGTGAAACTGAGAGTTAATGTCACTGAAACATTTCACTTGTGCTTTTTGAAATGTTGTCCACTTCTTCTTGGACTCTGCCTCAAGAGCTACGTAAATAGACACAACACAGAATCCTTTAAGTAAATCATTTCAGATGGGCCTACAAGCAGATTTGATTTGAGGCAATTTGGAGGGTCTACTTTTAGAACCACATGTTTAGATATTGTTGCAAAACTGGACAGCCTGTGTGAACATCTAATTTCTTTTTCTTCCTCTCTGGAAGTCTTTGTTATTTCCAAAGACTGATGATTCTTCCTTCTGGCTTTTTTTCTGTCTTTCGGTTTTTCATAAAGGCCAGGTGTGTGCGTATATCTGTGTCTCGTTTTTGAACAAAAGAATCTGGGAAGAAGATGATGTCATCTTTTAACCGTTGTATGCTTGTCTAGTGTGTGTGTGTGTGTGTGTGTGTGTG